CGACTTCCTAGCTTCTTAAATCTTGCTTGTTCTACATTGCTAATTTGGTATTTCAATTTGCTTTATTTAAATTTTAGTAGTTGATAATTAAAAACCAAAACCAATCTTGGATTTAGTATGTTTAGGAATTTTATTTCTTTTTATGTGGTTGAGTAAATGTACAAAATATTCCGGCTAACCTTCCTCGAGAGACACGACCCGGTGTTCGAATCTTTCGATTCTACTCTGGTAAAAATATTTACAATAATGAATCTAGCCAAGACAGTATCTATGTATGTAAACTGGGATAAGCCTAACATTCTTTTCTTACAGTCTCGGATGACCCTAATACCAATAATGTATCATGTTTCACCTAAGTCTTTCATATTAAACTGCTCAGACACCCACACCTTTTCGTTTGATAACTCATTCTTACTGTTTCCAATAAGAAGCATGTCATCTACGTAAAGCGCAAGAAACACCACCACGCTTCCACTGATCTTCTTGTATACACAGTGCTCATCCGTACATTGAGTGAGCCCGTACGACTAGATCAGTTCATCGAACTGGATATTCAAAGACCTCGAAGCTTGCTTTAGTCCATAGATTAATCTTACACACTAGATGCTCATGTCCCTTAGCTATGAATCCTTCTAGTTGCTGCATATAGATGTCTATGGATGTAAACGGGTCGGGTCGGGTACGGGTTTTGACATACCCGTACCTGACCCGCAAGTTAAAAAACGTACCCGTACTTGGTCCGTTACCCGATTACCCATCACCGGGTTCGGGTTGGGTTTTATCCGTCGGGTAATCGGGTACCCATCAGGTAATCGGGTTACCCGAATTAGTATTGCCGGCCAAATTTGTTCGGGTTTTTTTTACCCGTTTACCCGAATTCCCGACCCGACCACACCCGACCCGACCCGACCCAACCTAAACAGAAACAAAAAGCTCCCAAGTCCCAGCCTCCCAACAGCACTAAAAAAATCTCCTAACACTGAAGCACTACAGATGGAAAAAACAGTACTAAAAAATCTCCAATAGCTGAAGCACTACAGATGGAAAATCAAGGAAAACATGTGCATCACCTAATACAACAGCAAAATAAAGAGAAATAGCACTAATAACAAGCTAGAGAAAATCAACACTCCAGTCAAAACACCTTATAGTTCAAAACAATACATAACAATAATATGTTCCAAAAAAACTCAAGTTATAGTTCAAAACAGTACATAACAATAATATTGATGGGTCTCCTCCTAGATCCGGAGTGAACCGGTGAGAATGAGCTCC